ATAAAACACTTACTACTGGGCCCCAAGGTGCTTGTTGAACTAACAACTACTAGGGAGCAGGACTGGTGTAGCAATTGGTCCAATCACTGGACCAAYCAGCAATCCCTTTACTCCCTCAAGAAGCACATCAACTGAAATATTTTAGCAACTCTCTCCTAAGGCATGCTAGGGCAACTTGTTGCTGTCTAGATCTATCGTCCCTTCCTAATGTTGCTTGTATGTTCCCAATCAACTCCGCTCTACAGTCTTTGGATCCCCATCAAAATCAATGGTACTGTCTGGTAGTATGATTAATTCATATGCTATGTTCTGRTCTTTAAGACACCATCTTGTGAATGGTGTGATACCATTTTTTTTTCCAAATGTCCTTTATCTTTCCAACTGCACAGGTCTTGTAAAATACATGCTCAAGTTGAACAGGCTCATACCATATTTTTCTGCTTACCAAACATGAGGAGTTGAAAATCAGTCTGCCACACCTTGTTCTCCCCAACTTGTTGTTGATGGTCTGTTGACTCCATAACATGCATTTAGTACACCATGGATAAGGTAGAAGCCCATTGCATGGAGTTTCACTGGCAACTCCTCCTTGTACTTTCTACCTGGACTGCTAGCTAGTATACTGATCTTCATTTTGTGCCTGCTGTTTTGTTGCAAGTGACAGTAATGCCATTTTCAACTAGTCCATTCTTGCAATCATACACACCTTCAGTTTTTGGAACTCCTCTGATGAAAGCTGCATGGATCTGTTTGTTTTTGTCACTTTTACAGTAGACTTRAGTTGGAAGTGCAGAAGAAGTGGATGCCCAGCTGCATTGCTTCCAGCAACAAGAGTTATTCAGCAGCTGCCATTTTTTGCACAGACCGCACCACCACTAGCAATGTTCTTGCTTGTTGGATCAAATTTTGTTGCTGGTGGACCTCTGGCAAGAGCAGAGCAGTTGTCCAATGTCAACCCACTCTTGTCAAGATTAACTATCTTATTTAATTGGTTTGGAAAGAACAMAAGCTCACCTTTGATAAGCAAATCTAAGCTGGACAAAATAGTAGCCACCACACAAAGAAAGTGTTGATAAAGGAAAAATCTTTTGTAGCHACCTTGTGCAGCTGTTTGAACAAGGAATCCATATCTTCTATACTGATGGTTCTCCTTCAAGGCACATAGCCAGCAATTGGTTGAGTTCTGGATGTTTTGGTGTCATGATTGTCTCTCCTGCTGTAATATTGATAKATGAAGCCACCATTGCATTGATAATGTCACACTCTATTGCCTGCATAAGAATAATGTGAGGACATTGCAAGGCACATCATATTATATGCCCTTGCAATGATACATCTATGTATCATGACTGCCTTTATTTCTGTCTTGCAAAGGGCATTTACTTGTTTAACAATTCTAGAAACAGAGGAACACATTTGCCTGGGAAAATTTTCTCTCTAGTACTTCACCTTGGCTGGCAATTATTGCAGTATGTGCCTTGGCATTCAGCTCCTTCAACTTGGCATAATACTGTTCAGCTGTATCCCTCCTATCATTCTCTTTCTTGCTCTTCTGTTTGTTGTTGGACTTCTTCTTCTCATCTTTACMACTATCATCATTAACCACATCTTCAGCATCAACTGCATGGGGGCTTTTACTTGTAGTTTTTGTGTCACCCACCACAGATGGATGGATTACTAGAAAGACTGGATACCTTTGCTGCTCTTGTTGGTGGCTATGCAACCGTGATGTTTGAAGGAGCTGATGGTTTCAGTCCCTTTTGGACCCTTATAACCCTCTTTTGCAGAGCTTTGTTCTTTTGTTCTTCAGTGGCAAAATCTGTAAAGATCATTGTTTTCTATAGAGTACAGTTCTTTCCAAGTGCTTTAGAATTAATGAGACACTGAGCTGACAGCTGGGTCTTTGTACACACAGGGACAGCATATCCATTCTGCATAGTAGATCCAACTGCTTTAGTGTTGTTGGTATTGGGGGTGTTGGTGTTGGTGGTGTTGGTATCGGTGTTGTTGTTGGTAGTGGTGCTCATGACTTCTGAGATTAAAAATTGACTTGTACTGCAGTTTACAGTCAGCACCTGCTGAATTTTTGAATCCCACCAGTTGTGTGACCAAATTGTTTCTTGCACACGTGCTTTTTGCTTCAATACATGCTAYTGCTGTACCAGTAGTWCAAGTYAATTTTGAATCCCACAAGTCGTTACATGCAAAATATGAGCCCAAAATGTACAACTGGTTTGTACATTGGTCCACCAACTCTATACAATATTGCAGGTATCAGTAAAAAAWTTGCACTCCTTGGAGAGCAAAGTATCTGGGGTGCTACAGATGGCTTCTTGAAGATTGGATTGCAGACCTCCTCAAACTGGTGGGCCATACAGAACATGTACTAGTACAACTGATGGACATGTGATACATATRTCAATGGTATGTTTGTGTTTGCTCCTCATGGTAAAATCAGAGCTTGCRCATTCAACTACACTGGAGCTTGGCATGGTGACACAGTTTCTGGGTATTGAGTCTACAGGAAGGTGGTGGAGCACATGGACAACTWATGGAGCAAATATTGTGGTTGACTCAGCCTTCAACTTGCAAGACAACAAGCAAYATCTTGTTGTAAGAAGCTCCAAGAGGGATCCAGGCATGCAGGTTGATGGCACCAGAGGAGGTCCTCCYTTGAATGAGGCTGCTGCTAGAGCTGCTAGTAGTATATTGATAAACTGACAAGTTGCATCACTGAGACAGCTGTCTGAGTTGGACATGAGAATGATCCAAGGACAGTTTCCAAAGCTGAAGGACAGGAACTATATAGAGGAGCAAGGTGAAAGAAATGTACTCTCAAACACAGTGAACTTGTTGTACTATAACCATGCCATCACTGTATGCATCAATCAGATCATTAATGTGCACATGCCCAATGAGCAACACACACAGGGGTTCTTCTCACAACCTAGCAAGAAACAAGGAGGAATACAATACAGTAAGCAATGATGGCATCACAAAGGAACCAAACAGACACAAGCAGCTTGGAGTCGAGTGCTCAGGTCAGAGCTGCTCCTACTAGAAATAATATGTAGATAAATTAAATGTAGTAAAATCTTAATTTCTTTTATATGATGCTGCGACACCAACCAAAGAGTGGAGCAAAAAGAGTACCTCAGGAGAAGGAACCTCTTTTGTTTTACAACCAACAGAATCTAGYAAAGCAGGTTGCCTGCTAACATTTCTGGAATTACTTGAATACATCAGGAGCTGAMAGTTGGAGTCCAGTTGACAAACCAGGCTCTGTTTTCAACTGGAGGTCTTCTAACTACATCAGAGAGAACATTCAAAGAAACAGCTGGCCAGAGATTGCCTAGGTAAGAACATGGTGTATCAATTTATTCTTTGTTTCTCACTGCTGTCCTTTTYTCTTGTTAATCCTTGTTCTTGCTGCTACTTTTTTTATCAACTGGTACAGAGAATATCCTTATAGGCTCAGGATCTAGTACTAAGAAACAGAGGAATAACACTGGTCGATCCATCTAAGGAGAATCAAAAGCAAAGAGTTGAAGTGCAAGCAGAAGACACAGTAGTAGTAGAAGCTATTGCTGTAGAGAAGGACAAAGAAACCTGGCAAGAAGAACAAGGCAAATAGTCATCTTATGATTYSTTTCCATATCCTCCAGAAATTGAATCAGAGGAAGAGGTCCAAGAATTCACAACCCCCATGGCATCAATGAAGAACAAAGCTACCCTTAGTGCTAATGGGCTTCTCTCAAGCATGAGATCCCTCAAGATTGGGGGTCCAAAGCTCTCTGGTGCACAGCCAATGTAGCCCATGGTAGTAAGACCAATGCTCCCAACCTGGTGGAACACTTGGGATGAGCAACATGAGGATTCTAAAGGCTATGTCAAGATAGTCATGAGCCTTGATCCAACTACAATGCTTAATAATCTTGATCTTAGTTGGGTTGATGAAAGGCACTTCAAGATTAGAATCAAGTGGCCTGCCTACACAAGTGCCTATTACGTCACAACATGTGCCACATGGATCTCAATGCAAATGAGAACCAGATCTTTCATCAAGATCACCCCTCCTATGTTGAAATGGGAATGAAGGCAAAGAAAGTCAAGAACAAGAATAAKGACGGGACTATCTGAGAGGAGATCATTGTCTGCTTTCCTTCAAATTACATGSRCCCAAAATATTCTCCTAAAATTCTCAATGGAGTACATGGTGGAATCCYGGTAAAGCTCCTCAGGATTGTTTTCAAGGAGCCAATTSAGCAAGAGGGGTCAAACAATCATATTGCAATCAAAGAAACCAAGTCTATTCCTCTATGTAAGTCCCCACCATCAGCACCAGCGGACAAGGATGCATTGAAGACACAACCATCTTGTGATCCCCAGGATGTCCCTCTTTGTGGTTATYSCTCCTGGTTAGGAACGTGTCACTGTGAATAGTATGAGTTKTTTGTGACTCCCTTGAGAGCTGGTAAGAAAGCAAAACAATCTAACACTCTTGTTGTGCTTCCTTCTTCTGATTCTGACACTGATACTAATGGTAATGTCCACTGAAGGAGGAGCACTCCTTGTTGATGTTGATGACAAGTGATACAATTTTGATCCTAATAGTAGTAATTCATCAATTGCCTCTTTGGAATCAATCCTCTGAAGACCTTTGCTGAAGCCAAGTCATGCTTTGATGAGCTTGAGAGAGATATCCTGTTGTGGAAGGAGGAGGGGGATAACAACTAGTAGTAGTAGTTCCTCAGACAATACTCCCCTGTGTACTAGTAGTACTGTCACATACTTTTTGTTGATCTACAAGTCCAAGATTTGCTGTAAATCAAACCCATTTCTAGCAACTTATATTGTGTACAGTAGATGTCCTCATATTAACAATGCTGTTGACTTTTGAAATGGGTCTAGTAGTATCAAGTATACACAAGGGGGATGTGGTGGGAAAGCTACCAAAAATTGACTTTACATCAGATTTCAATCAGATTTCTTAATTCTGATTGCAGCATGAAATAATGTGTACTGATGAATTAGAGTTATGGGAAAGCTACCAAAAATTGACTTTACATCAGATTTCAATCAGATTTCTTAATTCTGATTGCAGCATGAAATAATGTGTACTGATGAATTAGAGTTAGTATGTTCAAAGTGAATTATTGAATTGGTTTAGGTGTACTAGTAGGTCTAGATTTCCTTTTGTACACAGTTGTTCCCTGCTGTGTTGTGGTCAGTTGGGAACTGCTTTCCATAGTTCCAGTCCCCTGTAGATTKTAGTACAGATTCTACTGAGGGGCTTCAGAACAGAACTCATAATCAATGTGTTAACTCATCAGTTCTGTTCTTATTCTGATTCTGTTAAAAGGTGATCTCATGGAGAATAGGAATTCTTGATCTTACTACCACTATGTGTAACATGTGATAAATAGCATATAGTAGGATTTAGACCGGGACCTATATATGTAGGTCTGACCCAGAGACTCACAATTGATTCTAAATCTGTAGTTTTTGATTGTACCATAAGCTTGTGGGTATAGGAGCAATCCTCAGTACTGGGCCTAGTACAGGACAGGCCTCAGTACTGAKCCTGCACTGATTTCTATCCCTTTTGTACTAGTCAATTTGTTGTAGTCAATTTGTTGTGGTGAAAAAAAATCAAAAATTAARAATATAGTTTCCTGTATCCCCCAACATTCAACAAGAGTACATGTAGTACTACTAGTAGTAGTAGTACAATGCCTATGTAGATGACACACATGACTGGTGGTCTTGCATGTTCCCTCCTGCTGGCATGTTGCTCATTGTAGCAACATTTTGAAATGTGGGTTCCTGGGTTTTAATCCAGGAGTAACCCACAAAATAACCCACAAATAAACTACAAATCTCTTGTTGGCCCTTCAAACACCCAAGAAAAACAGTGATTAATTAATGTAAATGACCACATCCTTCTTGGTTCTCCAGCACTACTACTAATAATAACCCAAATGGCTTTAAATTTGTGGGTTATTTCTTGTGGATTTGCAGCATCATTCATGGGTTCCTTGGTTGTTTCCAAATGAAATAACCCACATTTTAGAAATGTGTGTGTTTTTTTTGGTTAAATAACCCACAATTCTAAAACGAGGGTCATTTTTCACCAAAAATAACCCACGTTTTTCTAGGGGAGGATTTTGAAAAGGGGGATGCGTTCGTGGGTACCGGAGGAGGGCCCTGTAGAAACCGGATGAAAATTGGCTGACGCATCCTATTCGTCGATAACATTTACGAATGATGAAGCTTTCTAGTGTCCTCTGACCACGCTTCGTGTTGAAGACAAAAAAGAAGAATGAAATTATCGGAATTCTGGTTGGTGGAGAATAGAATAGAAGCAATCAAAAACCATAATCGGCCCAATATATTCCGCCTAGWTAGGATTTTACTGAATTATGCTCTGACGCGCAGATCCCGGCCATGTTCTAAAGAGAGGCAGTCTCCTTCCATAGCTATGTACTRTACGTAACGTACGGTACGTAATTGTTTGCAGTAGCATTGGATCCGTGCAAAAAAATTAAGTGCCCTCTGCTCCTAGGTACGAGTACTCGTACCTACCTGSGTTGGTGGTTTACTATTCCGACCCCATAGCTCAAACCCCATCTATCATCAAAACCGCGCGTCCGTTGGGACTCACAAGCGTTCGTCGTACACCATCGAAATCTTTTCTGATTCCAGTATTGCAGTATTTTAAATGAAACTGCGTGATTCGAAGATTGCTTACGTGCGCATACAGAGTGATTTCTTCCAAGAAAGATCTTATCTTTGTCATCAGTGAAATACGGAACGCGTACGGTACAAAACAATCCGATTGGACCCCTTGAGCAGAAGGGAGTAMTACTCGCATTCTTCGATCGTGTACAATCAAAGTGGGCTACAATCATCAAAGCCKATCTGCCTTGGTCGAGGCGTAAAAGGATGTATCGCTGCTAAGGTTCTAGAAATCATAGACGAGAGAAAGATTGACTCTTCATTYCAATTCCAACCGAACAGAGGGAAGAACATCGCAWCCAAAAACAGAAACAAGCTATCAGTAACTATCCYATTTCAACAATATCTGTAAAACCAATAGCCTKCATAAAAATGGAAGAGCTAGAGAAGAGTGGTTGCGACGAGAGACTTGGCCGAGAAGAACAGACGCAACTGAAACAGAGTGCTMTGTCATCGAGTACCACAGATTCAACAATTGCAGATAACACCACCAATCARAACAAAGAAAGAGATGCTAAAATTACGAGCCAAAACGAAGCACTCGTTGGRGAAGATTCATCTTTAAAACGTTCACTGAATCGTCATGACTTCTTGGAGCTTGATAAGGGACCACAATCCACGATGGAACATACAATGAGCACTGCAAACGATATTGGTCGAGTAATGAGTGCTGCAAACGGAACACGAAACGTTTCGAACAAGAGATTAAAAAGGGGAGAATCACTTGATGCCATTCCAAAGACTCCGGCGACTACACCAACCTCTGGTGCAACTATGAATACCACGAGAGAGGATCATAGTCCCAATCCGCCACCTCCTACGCCTCCACCGTCTGTTGCGTCCACAGCTACGAACACTTCGTCTGTGGCTCCATCCGAGGAGGCRGCAACCCCTTCCATTGGATCGGGATCTATGCTAGCGAAACATAAGGATGTTTCCTCGGGTGGTAATGGTGGTGGTTGGACGGACGATGATGCCTACGAACGCATGCCAAAGACTCCGATTGCACCCCCACAAAGTACGTCGTCTTCAAGGGTAACTTCGCGACATACTGCAGCGTCCCCACTCCTCTGTGCTGGCGGTGTATATCTTGCGGACGTTCCACCAGCGCCACCCACAACCCCGGCACCAAAACTCGGCGGGAATGTATACCGGGATTTAGGATTGGCAACTCCACTTCCATACACAGCCGGCTTCGTTCAAAATGCAAATCAACTGGAGATGCAACAACGGCAAAACCAACAGAGGCAGAAAAAACTTCAAGRAGAGATACAAGAAGGGGCTATCACTCCCGCWCCCCATCGATCTCAGACCGACACGGCGAGGCCACCAGCTGCAACAGGAACGACAGCAACTTCCCTCTCGGACGATTTTTCTGAATGGGCCGTGGGAGATCGATACAAACTATGTAGGATGCTGGGGCGAGGTTCGTATGGTGAAGTTGCACAGGCAATTGACAAGTACCAAGGGCGACCAGATGCATTTGTAGCGATCAAAAGGATAGTTGGTCCATTTGACCAAGAAGTTGACGCCGTGCGTCTTTTTCGAGAAATTCATATATTGAGGAGACTGCGGACACTTGGAAAAAACGATTGCATCGTTCCCTTGTTAGACGTTGTCCAACCGCCGACGGAAGATCTTAACGACTTCCACGACTTGTATCTTGTCTTTGATTATGTGGATACYGACTTGTACAAACTTATCATGTCTCCACAATACTTGACGACCGAACACATACAAACTTTTCTTTATCAGATGCTGATCGGCCTGAAATACATTCATAGCGGCAATGTCATTCATCGAGACTTGAAACCAGCAAATATTTTGTTAAACGAAGACTGCTCATTGAAAGTACGTATGMACGCTCAACAAATGATCCGTACTGGCGAAAAGAAATAYATATATATAYRTGACGGTTCGCTCTCACACCACAAATCTCTCGTTCTCTACACCAAAACAGATTTGCGACTTTGGGTTGGCTCGCATCGTAGACGAAATTTCGGTCGCACGTTCTTCTTCATCTTCTATCAAAGATAAAAACAGCGGGAACACTAGTAATGGAGATGCCAACGATTCGGATACAGCAGCTKTAAGACAGATGAAAGCAGTGAAAAAAATGGCTGGTAGATCCTGTTCAATTAGTGAACAATGTTTTTCCTACGACGATGAAGGAGGAGTGACTCAACCATCAGTAAGTTCAAAACATAGGATAGATTGTCATTCGTTTTGATTATAGAAGGAGCTCTTGCAATTTGATTGAAATCATCGACTCAGGATTGAGCTCTTTTCCCATTTTTAGAAATTACCTCTTACGAGACAATTGACGAAGCATGTTGTAACCCGATGGTATCGTGCGCCTGAATTGATTCTGATTCAACCATATACGACAGCTGTAGATGTTTGGAGTCTAGGGTGCATTTTTGCCGAATTATTGAGTATGCAAGAGGGAAGTGTCCCTGGTTATCAAGATCGAACTCCACTGTTTCCCGGTGGAGCCTGTTATCCACTTTCTGGTGATGCCGACAATGTGGGACGACTCGATCAGTTGAATGTGATTTTTAATGTTATTGGAACACCATCAAATGAAGACATTGCTTCGCTCGGCAAGGCTAACGAATATATAAAAACATTGAAACCCATCAAACCTAAGAGCCTGGAAGATATATACCCAGCAGCAGATTCACACGCTTTGGACTTGCTGCACAGGATGCTTAAATTCAATCCAAAGGAACGGTGTACAGCCGAGGAAGCTCTGAATCATATATTTTTTTCTGGAATCCGTCGGGAAGARATGGAGACCTCGGTTGGAAAGCCCATGGAGAGCCCAGAATTCTTGAATGAACAGGAAATTGACATCGAGGTTCTGAAGCAGAAGGTTTACAACGAAGTTTTGTGGTTTCGAGATAATCAACGACATCTAGATGCCTCGATCCAAACGATACGAGCTGACCAGCAGAGAGACACGGAGTGAGAGCGTCCCGGAGAKCCATGTTATCATGATMGATGAGATCTGCTACCGGCAATGCCAACTCGTGACCCAATCGATTGCTCGCTTGTCGGCTAATCCTTGCGATGAACTGAATCAATGAGAATTGCCCCCTTTCAAAGAATTTCTGCATATGTGATGTCATCGACCTGCTGAYGCCAAGACGGGCACATTGTGGACGCTGGTGCCTCCACTGCGATTTCGAGGACAATATTAAACGTAGTAAACCTCTCTGGTTTTGTACGGCACACTTTCGCCCGAGCAACCGTATCCCCGGGGATTTGAAACGGATTAYCCCACACTTTGAGCACGACGGAAAAGAGAGAGATACCAATCGCGTCGTTACGATCAAGAGAATCACCCACCGCACSACATAAGCGGAAAAGCAAACATGYTGTTTTGCATACGACTAAAGGAACATTTTTCCRTCCAAACAGTGCGTCATGCGTACACGTCGAGTTACTGTCCATGGACGACTGTTTGAAAACGAAAACAAATAAGGAAAGTGACCGCTGGAAACGCACCGTTTTTGGATGACCAATCTTTGACKGAAATACTAGATCAACGAGCACAGAAATTTGAAATCAGTTTTAGTGCTAGCTCTGATGCTTGGGTACGGTATTCTCAGGGCCAATGAGTAAGCTTCTGAAAAATATCATTTAATAGTGGTATCTATCATCTCGAAAGTACCATTCACACCTCATTTGAAACAATGATATCGTGGTTTGGAAAGCCATCATTTCTGTCACTTATTGCATAYAAATCTCCTTTAGCTCTACGAAAACAAAATGTTTTGGTTATKATCTTCAAGGCGTGTGGATATGAAGAGAATAATGAGGATAATATTGGTAAAACAGGAGTCATTTCTACGACTTCAATCGCTTCTCGAACTAATCATGATGATGAAATTCAGGCCGTCCACGCAGCAAGCTGTGGAGTGCTTACGAATACGAATATCTACAACGCTTAGACTAACATTAAGGTTCCAATAAATAAAATTCACCATCAGATACCAGTGTATGCATGCATTGTATGGCTGCAAAAGAGAGGTAGTAATCCACCATTGCTTGACACCAAACTCCTTTCAGGAGAAGAAGAAGAATGTAGAGATACTTAATCCATTCATAGTTCCCCCATTCTCCAAGGGCTCAATCCAATCTATGACATCTTTCTCGACTCAATGGTTTGTTTTACTTTGGATCCAGCCCTTGGCAAAGTCAATCGATGCCTTTCCTTCCGGAAGGAAAGCTTGCATCATGGAAAACACGTGGCACATGTACTTCCAGACCCCAATTGTCACCTCCGTCGGGGGACAAGCAGCGGCATCTCCTCTTTCCACTCCCTGGCGGGCCTTGTTGACTATAGCGATGGCCATGTCGTAGCACGCTTCGTGTTCACTCGCAATTAAGCACAACGGTGGCAACCCGTTCATGTCGTGAGTGAGCGGAGAGTATTGAATCCGTCCGTTTGTATTGTACCCACTGTGGTCATCGTTCGTTCGGAGCAGGTCGTCGCCAAGCGGAGGAACAAATTCGTTGAGGTAGGGCAGTCCGTAGTGCTGGACGGCTTGTGTGACGACCCAGTCGAACTCGGAATTTTGCACAAACGAACCGCTCGGTGGTTGTGGGTCTCGGTAGTCGACGTAGGGGGCAAAAAGGACGGCCCCCGCCACTCGGATGGATTTGGTTTTGCTCGWAGAAGGCTCCGCACTCTTGATCGTCCGTGACACGATGTCGTCCAAGACGGGCTCCAGAAACGAGGGTGTCACGGGCAGCGACGACCCTTCTTTCGTTGTCAGGGATCGATCCCGCAACAGCTGTAAGAGGCGCAGGGCGATGGCCCCCCCGCTCGAAATGCCCACAAACACGATTTCGGTGTCGGTATGTTGATTCTGCTGGCTGCTCTCTTTTTGCAGCCTCTTGACCAAGTAACGATAGGCCCAGGCGGCGTCCCACAACACRTCATCGATTTTCGCCTCCGGAGCCAGCCTGTATTCKGGAACAAAGACCGCGTCCGCGTTGCAGTCTTCCATGAATTCGTTGGCCAGCGATAGGTTTCCCTCGGCGTCACCCGCCAGGTAGGCTCCGCCAAAAAACCAGAACAAAATGCTTCGCGTGTGGGACAGAGTGTTGTCGTTGCTGCGCTTGTTTGGGTTCGTCACATAGAGTCCCCGTACGGTTTGGTGATCGCGCTGCGCGTCGGGGACGACGAACGGCCTTTCGCTGCGGTGGTTGGTGCCTGTTTGGTCGACGCCACGGCTATTTGTGCCGTCGGCGACTCGTTCGACGCATTCCTCGCATGGTATGTCTCTCGAGCTGATGACGTTGAGCTGGCTCAGTGCGAAGCGCATGCGTGGAACGTCGACCACAAAAAATTGCGACGGGTAACAGAGCGTCGAATACGCCTTGTATTCGTTGCTKATGAAATCGCTGCCGCTCTTGCCTTTGCCATCGGAGTGYGGCGACGGCGGGGACRACCGATAGAAGCGATCATCGCTGTACAATCCCATCCATCCACAGACTACAAGCGTGTGAACCGAAAMGTACCACCCCCAGGCCCAAAAACAAAGTTTGCGCTTGAGGAAGAGAGGAACGTGCTTGTGCCAGACATCCAGAACCCACATCAACCACCACGACACGAAGATCTTGTCTGCGARGGCGATGGATTGCAGGATCCACACCGGGGTCGTCGACCGCGATGGCCAGTTCCGTCGCTGCCGKTGCGGTCTTCCGCCGGGACGGTCTTTCTTCGCGTCGAAACTGCCGCCGCCGGTGGAACCCCCCGCGGTGGCGTTTGGGTTCACAAACGGAGAGTGATTGCTGGGATCGTCACATAACAGATAGCTGTGTGAAGAGTTGGGTCGATAGGAAGGGGTRGTTTCTCCGTTGTTGCAGTCTTTGGTGGTGGGAGACCCCGCCACATCGAAGCTTGGTGTAGTCACCGTCACGACACGAGTCGACATGTCCGATAAAAACGATTTTGGGGAGGTATTCGTAGTAGTGTGGGTGTGTGTTGCGAAGCAGTGGATGATATCTTGCTTGTTTTGCTCGGTCGACTCGAGAAATCTCTGTCTTGAACGTAGCAATTGGAGTTCAAGTAGCCGTTCGTGGTCGGGGCGGATGGCTTAGGACGGGGTGGTGAGTGTCGGAAGATTCAATTGTTACTKTACTTGTACCGTCCTGTTTTATCACAACAATTCGTTTTYGGTCGGAAGACCGGAAATCAGAATGCATTCCGATGAAGTTATTTTTTTCGAACAAGGTGAAAAATGGTGTCAGATTATCTCTAGTACGTCAGACTTACGGTACTCGTACGTAGAAGTACCGTANTGAAATTTCTGAAATAGGAATGGAAATCATTGAGGTGTTGTGTATCCTGGGTATTGATTTTGTTGGTGTTGTTTTTTGTAAGCAGAAGAGGTGTTCTTCTTGCGAGAAGAAGAAACAGCAGACCATTAGTAGTAGTAGTAGTAGTAGTAGTAGTAGTAGTAGTAGTAGTAGTAGTAGTAGTAGTACTAGTACTAGTAGTACTAGTAGTAGTAGTAGTAGTACTAGTACTAGTAGTAGTACTAGTACTAGTAGTAGTACTAGTACTAGTAGTAGTACTAGTAGTAGTAGTAGTACTAGTAGTAGTACTAGTACTAGTAGTAGTACTAGTACTAGTAGTACTAGTACTAGTAGTAGTACTAGTACTAGTAGTAGTACTAGTACTAGTAGTAGTACTAGTAGTAGTAGTAGTAGTAGTGAACAAGAAAGCACAACATACTACTATATCTTGCAAGTTAAAACCAGTACATTTTCCAAAGATCTTCCCTGTAATTTGTAAACAGTTCTTGCATTAGCAATATTGACTGGGAATAGAGTTAGACATTTTCCTGTGTGACATGTTTGAGTTTGACTGGTAATTCTTTATTCATATTCTTCCTTTTTGTCTTGTGGACAACAAAATTTTTCTGTTGCTGCAGTGTTTTAAGGAGTCAAAGTSATCACTTTTTTAAGTCTCCTTCTTCAAGGACTACCTCCATCCATTCAACTTTCTCAGCATCTACACACCAAACATAAAATCAATCAATGTTCTTGATAGTTACACAATCTTGGTACCCATTTATTGTTGCACAATTGTCTACAATGCTGTATGATGCATAAGCAATATCTTCTGGGAGTGTGTCCCGAGTTTTTACAATTCTTGAATTGATAATGTGAAAATACTCTTGGCACTTCTTTCAAGCCAAACTCTCCCCAGATTGGATCATCTTTGAACCTGTGATTYTTTTAAGTTCAAGAAATGTGTTYGTTTTTCTATCTTTTTTGACAATAGGGAGTCTCCTCCCACTGGTTTGAGTTGATTGAAATCACCTGCAGAGACAATTKGTACTAGATTTTCCATTTTAATGATATATTGACTTGTCACACAATAGGTTCAGATACTCATTCAATGTTTCAATTTGTTTGTTACTAGCAAAKGGTATCTTGTGAACAAAGAGTAGGCAAGTCTCATTTTCCCATGCATCATCCTTTTTAACATAGGATCTGTCACAATTAAGACAGCAAGCTTTATGTKTTATTTCCCTGTTGACATAAACTGCTGCTGTTCCAGTCCTGCCTATGACAGCCAGAGCTCTGTTCAAAAAGTTTGCTTCCAATTCTTTGCAAAGCATCTTACAATAGTAAGAATGGTGTGGAACAGAATGAATTACTTTTATTTTCCAGTACCACCAGTTCCTGATGGAAAAAAGATTAGCTGTTCTTCTTTGTTGTTCATGGTTTCCTTAAACATGTTTTCTCATGGTTTTGTTTATGCAAATCATGCAAAGCTGTGACCAGGAAAGATGATCTCTTGTTCTGTTCTGATTTAAATTGAATTTTTCCCTTATCATTTCCTCAATGCATTCCTGCATCAACTCAATTCCATGCAAACCTGGTACTTTCTTGACTTCTTCTGTGATGTAGACCATTATAACAATGTGTGACTTGAGAATAGTGAGTCCTCAACTAGAACATGTCCTGCTCCTGGCAAAATGTTCAATATTGAATCAAGTTTGTTGTTCAATCACTTGAAAGAGTAATGCAGCATTCTTCTTGACACTTACYRAAAMATTTTCCACCAAACTTTGTTTTCCCTGATCTTGCTCTAAGTTCCCTCAAATCTTGATTGCTTTGTGGTATCATTGTTGCTTCTTGACAGTTTGTGCATTTACTTGTACAAGTTGATGAGTCAATGATTGCATGCAATTTTGTTGATATGATACATTTTGCACAACCTTCTCCTAGCTTCCATAATGCCTCTGCTAGTTCTTCACAACATGTGTTTTCTTTTGCTAGTCTTGGGCTGTTCCAGTGACAACTTCTGTTTTGAYGATAGTTCTGTGGCTTGTGCTGGCGGAATATATCAAGTCTTGGCAATGGGATTCTCTTTCATCATGTCGGTATAATAAAAATAACCTGTTTGATTTTGGAATTACCAATAATGACAATGGCTCATCCTCATTGGTGTAGTACTACTACTAGTACTACTACTACTACTTGGCCCATTTGCTGGTGGCTAATTGTTGTTGTAGAGGCTGTCAACACTGACCTTGGCATTGGCATTGCTACCAGTATGCTTGTCTGTGATGCTCTTCCAGGAGAGGAGGAACTGGCAGTATTTTTTCTAGGACTCAAACTTGTTCATGAAGGCATCAGTTGGTGCATCATGCCTGTCATAGCTATCACTATAGCCAAAGCTATCCAYATTTGCTGTTGCTGGGTTCTTTGTAATGTCTAAATGACTGATCACAGTAGTTTTTGAGCCTTAGGAGGCTTTGGGTTATTTTCTTACATTTTGGAACAGCCCACCACACATTTGACTTTCAAGTATTTATTTGAGTCTTGAGAGCATTTTTGTTCTCTTAAATCTTGGAATGACCAATCACAAGTATGACAGCTGATTTTTTGAGTATTGGGGGCAATTTGGATCTCTTAAGTACTGGAATGACTGATCATAATGTTAATGACTGATTTTTTGAGTCTCGGCAGCAATTTGGTTCTCTTAGGAAATACTGGAATGACTGATTGTCACAATAATGACTGAATGTTTAAGATAAAAAGGAATGAGCTATTTTTGGTCAAAGTACTAATTCATTTGCAAAAAATGGTATACTGGGCTTGACATGGATTCTACACTAAAAACAAGTTTCTTTTTGTTTCTTTGCTGGTAAGTCCAGGGCTGTGAGAATTCTTCAAGGTTATTGGCTACCATGCACAAAAKATAGTGGTAGTCCAGTGCACCAAAGCCAATTACTAAACCCGTAGATTTAGCATATTTATTACTTTTATAATAATRKGCCCACTCAAAAGTAATAAATTTTGTAATAGAATTGCTAAATTTTTTGTCCGTCTATCWATCAAAAGTATMAATCCTATAATRATGGGAATGGCCCATTTAGAAGCAAAGTAATGAAACTACTCTGGACTGGTGTTTGTTGAAATTGTYAGCATTGCTCCATGTTGCATAAGCACTGATTTGAACCATGCTCTTCTTTCAACCCATTTGTTCTGGAATAACCAAGAAGCTCCCCCCAGATTAGCTACTACTAGTAGTAGTACTACTAGCGGCATCATCTTTGAACCTGTGGTTGTTTTAAGTTCAGGAAACATAGTGTTGGTTTCTTCTCTCCAAAGATAGAACTCTTTTTTTAAGAAGAGGGAGTCTCCTCCTGCTGGTTTGAGTTGATTCAAGTCACCAGTAATGGCAAGAATGGACAGATTGCCATTGAAATGATACAGTGCTGGCTTCTTGCCCCATA